TTCATTAGATCAGGCGATAGACTGGATAAAAATCTTTGTTTGATTTGTAATAATGACATAGCCAAAAAATTGTAAAAAATAGCCCTGTGGTCAAGCACAGTTGGACAATTTGACCCGTCCTAAATCATCAAATCTCGTTCACCTGTAAAAATTTAATCAACACTTGTCCAGGTGAGAGGAAGATCGGATTTATAAAACATTATCGCATCGAAGTTTGGGAACAAGTGGATTATGGGAGAAATGAGCCCAGCTATTTCCATTGGCTGATTCCCGCCTAATTGTTTACTATCAAGAATACTATAATGTTTACTTAAGTTTTTGCAAGCAAAATTGAATCTGGAAATATAGGAGTTAAAACCATTTTGTGTACATTTTTATGATTATAAAAGGTAAGTTTAGAGTAACTTATATGCATTAATAATAGAAACTTTGTGCCATTATGTGTTTGTACAGGTGAGCATATTTTCTTTACAATTGATTACAGGTGTATGTTGTAAGCTTCCTTTTTACCTGTAATCAGGTTCATTAGATTGTTTACCTGTCCCTTGATAATAACATACCTGCACACTATTGCATGCTACCTGCTAATGCATATCGATGCCATCAAGTGCAGGCATTAATATCCATGATACAACATGTTGCATGTGAAGAAAAGATTAAAGGGTTTATGCATGATGCACCATATTGAAAACTTGATGATGTAATGGGAAAAATTGATTGCCGATTGGTTTCTTTTCACAATCTTAATTGAACATGCCGCAAGTCCTATTGCTGTGCAAAAAAATTGATCATATGTCAAGTTGATAAATAGAGCGCACATAATATAACATAAACTAAAATAGCAGCATTAAGGACTTGCGTCTTTAGATTTACATCATGTTGATGATGCAATGTTTTGAAGCTTTAGTTGGAACGATTAAATATAATTGCAGCAATTATGAGTTTAGCCTTTAACTGAGGGTGCTGTGACTATTGCACATACCTTGTCCATTAAAAAATGAGAAAAGCAAGAAGAGCATATTTGATAAACAAAACCATTCACTTTACAAACTTCATTTATACATTATGTTTGTTTTGTATTTTGATCATGTTGGTAAAAGGCTAGTAAGTAATTAATTGTTAGAAATTTTCCGTCCTGCTGACTCAAAAGCATATGAATACAGGTACATTATTGTAGATATATCCATATAATAAACAGTTGATCAAAATCCAGCATCATGTGCATAATTTCTCTTTAAGTACTGGTGTGCTATTTAGAACTTAAAATATTGTGTATAGAGACATAGACTGTTGTTGAAGACTAGGTTAACCTGTAGATGTGTTTTGGTTTTTTGTGTCATTGTGGTTTTGTTTCACTGAGGTATACTTTGGGGTTTCCTTGTAATGTTCATATTACTATAAGGGTCATACTTATAGTTGAGTGATTCATAGAAGTTACATTTTCACTGAATTTGCTTGTCTAATAAGAATCATGCATCCTTTATTTTGTGCAGTCATCTTTCACTGGACATTTGCCAAACTAATTTCAATGGTCATCTGAATTTTATTCAGCAATAGGTTCTGTTAGTAATGGTGCAAATTTCATTCAGCACTTTAAAACGTAGGAGCTCAACCTGGACTTAATAATTGATATGGACTGGATATCACTTTTGGCAGTCAGAAAAAGCTAAGTGAGAGATGGGAAAGCAACATCTCCTCCCTTGTCACCCAGTAATGTAAGTCCTGAGGTTTATAAGTTATATTGTAGACTATTCCTTGATAAATTCTGACTGCTGTCAGTATAATAGCTTTCAGTACCTTTCAAGTAGAAAAAGAAGCATTAAAGATATTTTTTTTTCATTCCAGGTGCTAGCTAAACAACAGTTGATGTCAACTTAAATACTGGTAAGTTTTGTTTTGTTGTTTTTAAGTGTGAAGTTTAATTGCTTTCACATTTTGCTTCTTGACAAAATATAAAATTCAGATTATCACAATTCTGACTATCACATTTATGTACAATACTTAATGATACTTCTATGCAAAGTTGTCACAAACAGGTCTATGTACAATACAGACTATCACTTAATGCAAAACTCTTGCCAACAAATTTATGCACACATTTCATTTTGTATTATTCTCAGTAATGCATAGTTGTGTATACATAGGTTTTGATTTGGCCAAATAGAAATAGATTGTATATTGTCAAATTTATAGGTTGCACTTTGTAAATACAGCTGTTTCTCAAACTACGCCTCTTTTGGGGAGATATAGAATATTCATAGATAATTAATTTTGTTTACAAACTGGATCCCCAGTTATGATCTCTATGTTTCATCTCATAGAGACATAACTTGGGAATGTTACCAGTAAATATACATATAGATGCATATTGTTTATATTGAAATCTGTGGTAATCCTACTGTTAAGATAGGGGTAGTTAAGAAATTTAGTGTTAGTTTAAACTCTTAGAAGTTCGGGGCATATAAATGTTGAAAATATGCTGCACAGCCCTATATTTTGACCTTTGAAAAAAATAGTAGTGCATATGAACTTTCCATTCTAGGATATGATTTTTTTCAAAACTTCATAGTAAAAGTGGTACAGTTTTAGCCCTAAAAGGAGTTCCTATGGGAAATTGCATTGTCAATATTTACAGAAATGCAACCTATAAGTGGCTAAAACCCACTATCTACCTGCTAGAATGGTATGCACATCTGCACGTTTTACTTCTTACATACTAGTTATTTTAAAAGACAAATTCAACCTTGTTAGTTTTGCTGGCAGTTACTAAGATAGCAAGGTCAATATACCTTTAGATTCAAGAATTATCTGTAGACATTAAAAATATCATTAAGAATGATTTCTGCATTTAGATGTCTAGATTGTTTTTCCTCCATACTTTCAGTTCTAAATATGGACCAAAAATGTGTATATCATGTATTCTGTAGGGCTATATAGTATGGTTGAATTGTAATGCATGTTTGTATGTGTGCCTTTTGATCTAGGCTAGTATATTAGTCAATAAATATATTAATAATAGAATGCCTATACAAAGCCAAATATAAATATCTTATTACTGCAGTCATTATTTCACTGTAGTTAAGAACCTAGGGCATCAACACGACTTTTTTTTACACAAAGAGCGATTAAAGATTTGATTGACTATTACAAAGCAACCATTTTTGATCACCTTTTATAGGTTTTTAATTTTTGCCTTTGCTTGCGGCAAATAGTAACAAAAATTAAAGTACATTGTTATCATTTAGGCTCACTTACTTTTGACACCTTTTATCTTTTCTTTGATTTTGAAGGAAGTGTATTTAAAGACATACAGAGGGTTTTACACCACCGATCAAAGTCCCCGTGACCTTGATCAGTTTTTAGTATTGCTTTCCCGGTAAGCAAATAGACGCTATCATGACTCATAGTGCTTCTCTTTTTACCTGTGTGTACGGGTGGTTATCTACGTAAATGTTGACTTATCAATCCTCACACTTTTGTGTAATATTGGGTACATTAAATGACACTCGTACATTAGGAAATATCAAGGCAGTGTGAAGTAATCACCATTAGATTTCCACATCATTTTTTTCTGAGTTATTTAAACTACTGATTTTGGAGAACACTTTTAAAGTTTTATTTGAACTTAATTGTAGATATCAAATTTCAGTTTAGTAATCCAAAATTAAGAAGTATACACAATATTAGTACAATCCTCAGACACAATCATATATAGTAATATGGAAATTAATTTACTAAGAACAATATTGAGAAGTTAAGAGTCTACAGATTTTTATTCATTTTTTTTCTTTTTTTCAAAAGTTTTGTTTCATTTGAATTTTTTTTTTGGTCAAAGAAAATAAAAAAACTTCAGATTCATTATAACTTACTATTGTACTTGGAAAGAATATTGATATTTTTAAAGTCCTTATGTAGTCAATTAGAATTTATTTTGAATTAATCAATTTCTGTTTTACTAACTTATTTTAATATTTGTTTTACATATAAAATTGATGCATTATTTATTTGCCATGACTTCTAATGTTGAAAAGAACAGTTTACCCAGGACAAATACACATTTTGAACTTTAGATCAAAGTCTTTTTAAAATTGAGTTTCGTCTAATTTGTTTAATTACCAAGGTGTGAGTTACTAATACAATTAAACAGTTTCTATAGAATTAAGCGCTAATTATAGAGTATGCTTAACTTAGTAACAGTATTGTTCTAAGGGAAGGGATCAGTTACAAAATTTTCTCTTAGTGTCTCCACTCTTTGTTTTGTTGTATACACTTAAGACAATGAAAGTGAAATAAATCTAGTTGTTTTGTGTAATACTGTATGTAAACATTAGGAAACTTGTTATGTCCCCTGCAGTGAAATCTGAACCCCCTGACGCTGTCGACCTCAATATGGCGTGATATACTTCCAAAATTCATTACAAACTAAAAGCTCCGACTAATTTACCATTTTAATGTTGACAATAGTTTTTAAAAGATTTGTTGAAATGAGGGATTATAAATTTAAAAAGAAATTTGGAGTAAGACTAAGCGAAAAAGACCCTTTGCTTTCTTGAAACCATTTGTTTATCAAGTTTGAACAAATACATTTTCTTTTGGGTCACAAAATAAACACAGAGTGATAGTTGCTAAAAAGGATTTGATAGAGGCAAATGTTTTTCAATAGTTTACTTTTGTATAAAGTATTATACTAACTTATGTTTACAAAACCCCATATTAGGGCTGTCAATCAAAAGGAGAAGAGTGTGCCTAAGGTTTCATAAAAATCAATATAGAAAATTAAAATATGATTAGTAATTATTTTAACTGTTTCCATAAACAAAGAATGATCTAATTAAAAAGATAATTGATTTTGCTTTGTCACATAGCTATTGTTTTGTTTTATAGTGTGTGTAATTATTTTTATGCTTGATTAACCCCATTGAAAGCCCCATAGTATGATTTGACAGTCAGCCAATCAGAGAGCAGTTCAGGTTTACACTATACAACAACAGTTTACTATCAACAGATTTATAATCACACATGGCCCTAGAGTTATAACTTGTTTTTTTATATACTGGAAATATTTTTAACCAGAAGGATTTTGATAATTGTATAAAGAAATGTCAAATATTGTAGATTCATGGATTATACATTGACAAGTAAAACATTTGACATTCAGTGAATTTTTATCTTCATACATCTACCTGAACAGTGGAAACCTTTGATACGAACATCTGTGTCACATAAACAGTGTGTTTTCTATATTTCATATTGTACAATTTGGATTTTACTTTAACCATCTATATTTAGTGAGAAAAAATTGATTTTAGTCTAAAGATATTTAGATTAACAAAGTAACATCTTTTTACAGCTTAAGTGCCAAAACAGGATGGATTTATTTAAAGTATTAACAGTATTATTAGCTATCCTGGGACTTTCTGTAGCATTTTTTGACAATTCAGCGAACTTGATATTAAAAACAACTGGTAAGTATATTGATTATAAAATTTTGAAAAAGTGCACAATAACTGCTGCAAGACTGAATGTTAAACATATGAGTTGCACTGAAAACTTTTATAGCTAACAGAATTTAACATCTTAAGTAGAAAAAAAATTGTCAAACTTTTATTAATTATTCAACTTTTTGAAAAATAAAGATGAAAACAAGAGAAGAAGTACAAACAAGATAGTCATAAGAAGACAAACTGTGTTCTGTAAATATTTACACAGAAAAGCAAAAGATTGTACAACATTGAACACTAAGAACTTAAAATATCGAGTGGAAGAAGACTTTTTACTATTAAATAGAGTATTGTATATTTTGTACACTTGAGAAAAGTTATTGGGGATATGAACTCATCAAAACAAATAATGCTGGAGCATAAAATTTTATGATAGCAATTGAAAGTTAGGACCATTATATTTGAGGGTTGTGATTTTGATGACACAGGTGTGCGATTGGCCTAACTACTTGAACTTTCCTTAGATAAAAGCACTTGAAAAGTGACATGTTATATCAATAGAAAGTTCAATAAAACTTAGATGGCACTAGTGATCTTTTTATAGGTCGATCCTTTAATTGGACAGTTATTCACTTTTTATATTATTTTAAGGATATATTTCCTTAAAAATGATGATTAGGTAAATGAAAAAGATGCAGGATGTTTTTTTTTTAATTAAAAAGATTGAAAATTTGCACAACAGGAAAAGTACTAAACATATCTGGAAATTTGTATAATAAACAAATATATATTTGTTAGGAAATTTTTAATAATTTATTTATAATGTGGTAAATTTCAGAAATCATTTTTCATTAGAGCAAATGTAATTGTAAAACAACGTTTTGTCAGCTTGGGATCTTGCGTAATAAAGTAATTGAAAAGAAATATAAGTGAGATTAAGGATTAAAACTTATTTCTAATTAACATGTCTCAAAGAAAATAAACTATTTTTGAGATATACACGTATATCACAAAAAGTAATAAGCTTTTACTAAAAGCAATATTAGTGTCAGTTGACAAAATGTCACCTTAAATTCATTTCACAGTTTAAGTTATGAATTGGGGATTTCTGATTGCCTAAACACAAATCTCTACTTCAGGTGAAAAGAAGATCTTTAATATCTAACCAACTTGGTTAAATCTTAGGCTCAAGGCCACTGATGCATGAATTGAAGTATGAATTTTAAGTGTCACATCTTAATGTATTATGGTTTGGTTCTCCGTATCATCTTCAACAAGCTACTAGGATAGGCTTGATAGATATTGTATTTGTTATTTTTCACCGAGCTCATTTGCATTTTACCATATAATGTATTACCAAATTTTACACCTTTTCTAACCAGCTTATTGTTACAAGATGATTTTTTTCTTTCTGACATTCTGACAAAATAGAACATTTGTCATTTTCATAAAACTGACATGTTTTTGCATATGTTTTGTGTTTTATTCATTCACTATAGGGATGGTAGCTATGAGACAGATGGGATCTCATATCAAACAAAATGCATCAGTCTTCATCAAGTTTCTCAGCAGTTTTATTTACTTGTTTACATTATCAGACTATTTTAAAATATAAAATCTACATTTTAAATCATAGTAATTTATATAGTTTGTGAAATTTATAGATAAATTGAAATCGGAAATTGCTGGAGTGGGAGTAGAGGAATACAGGAGAAAGATTTTCTTCTAAATACTGTAAAAGATGTTCCCAGTACTTGAAAAAAGGAAGGATTTTTTTTCAAATGTTAACAGTTTTCTCCTTCTTGATAGACAGAAAGGGTATATGTTACCCCCTGCTTAGCCCATTCATTATCCTAGCGCTAAGTAAGATATAGTTTTAGGGGGTTTATGTAAACAATGACCACTAATCTAAAGTGATAAAGCAGATTCCCTGACCACTGACTGGCCATCAAATCCTCATTACAACAGAGATAAGTCTAAAGTGACCACTAACTGACCATGTTATTTGTTGATAAGATCATGAAGTGTGAATCCTGTGGTGCACTATCATCAGGTTTAATTATGTACAATCAATTTTTATGTCATTGTTTGACCATTGGCCAAAATCAAGTAAATCACATCTACATCTGGAAAGGAATGGGAGAGGGGTTATTCTGGTCTAATTATAAGTAATCAAGATGTAAATCATCATTTGACCACTGGCCAAAAAATATGAATGTATACAAATCTATCAGCAAATTATCTGGAGGGGGGAAGTCCTGATTCAAGATCCTGAAATCAAAACTTCTTATTGTCATATTTAGACTGCAGTCTGTAGAACAAAATAAACCCAGTATTCTATGAAATTATCATTTTGTCTTATCTTTATATGAAAAAAAAAACCCTAAAATATCTAAATGGAAACCTAAGAGAATTTTTTGGATATAATAACAACAAAGAACAGTTGACTATTGGTTAACATCAAATTCTGGAAAGAATTAAGGGAATATCTGGTAACTATAGGATGAAGTGGAGTGTTGGTGTAACTTTTGGCAATAGGAATGTAAATTATAGCTTTCTTAGCTGACCCATATGAATGTAAATATCTTCATTAACCAAGGAATGTATTATGCCTGGAAGGATGGGAAGTCATTACACGGATTAATTAGTCAAATAATCATTCTGACAACAGTCCAAAATGGGGAGAATTTGTGCCTTTGCTTTTCTTATCTACCTTTTTTATATTCTTGAATTTCGTAAAACTAAAATAATTACTGTATTCATTTAAACAAATGATATTTACTCCTTGTTATGGGTCAACAATTTGAATAAGAAAGACATTATGTAGCATTTTAATTTATTCATATATATGTACAACTGGTTTGTATTATTGAATAAAAGCTGAAAAAAAATGTTGTGACAGCTTTATATAAACATTCTTTCTTCCTTTCTCACCTAATATTTACTCATTCTTTCGTCATTCTATAAACATTGTTATGGTTTAACATATGTTTTGTACAACAAATATTTGTTATAATCCCTTCCCTCGGGAACCTCACTGATAAAGAGCTTCATTACTTGATAAAAAATGATCTAGGATAGGTATATTGGCACTGTAATCTATAATTATCTGTTACATCCTGATTATAGCACTGGGATTAAAGATTAATTACCCCCAGACTAATTGATGCCAATGAAAAAATAATCCATAAAAAAGTTTTTCTTTGTTTTTCTGTCATCATATAGATGAGTCTGTTCTCTAGATAACCAATATTGTCCTAAATGTGCAGAAAAAAATTGCCACTGGACATCAAACCAACAAAAATCAATCATATTTTTTTCAAATATTTACAGAACTACCAGTGTACGTAATGAATTAATAGTATAGGCAGGGAAAAAAGTATTTCCTTGTTCCTGGAAGATAATATTTTTGTTATTGTTTTAATATATTTGGTTTTCAAGTTATAAGTTATAAGTTTAAAAATAAATGATTGTTTTAGTTAACGAACATGGTTATTAACCAATATACCTTCAAATACATTATATAAATAAATCTGCTTGACAAAAGTTTTGAAAAAAATTTCCCTTTTCCAATATTTGGATTAAATTTGTACAATCTTGTTGTGTATTGTCATCTGTCAACAGAAATAGTCAAAATGTCTGTTGATCTTAATTTGAAAAGTCTACAGTTATAAGGTCTTAGGCAATTTGAAGGTTACAAGTTCAGCTGACACTAACAGAAAACTAATATATAGTGTAATATATGTCATCACCAAGCGTCAGAATTGTCAGTTTCAGTGTCAGATGGTCTGTACTCCTTTAGGACACGATATTGTCCAAGTGTCACCAATCCGAATCAAGTGATTTCAGGGTTTTTTTTTCTATCCACGTAAATATTATGCTGTGAATTTGACATTCAACTTTAATTTAAAGTTTCCATTTTAAAATTTTAATATATTCTGATCAAGATTGTGCATGTTAAAATTTGATTTAAAGGAAGGAATAAGAGTAATGAATAATATGAATATTAAAAAAGGGGGAAGAAATAAATATTGTCAAGGTTAATGAAGGTGATACATGAAAATAATGATTGATTTTAAATTTCAATCAAATTTTGGTAATAAATTTAGTAATTTTACATTAATTTATGATCAGATATTCATAAAGCACATTTAAAAGTACATGAACATCGTATGACTTGACGTGTGGTATAAAAATGACATTGACAAAGTTTGCAATTAAGTCTACATGAACTATAAGCAAGGATTGACCACTGGGTGCCACTGTGACAAGTCTCCTGTTCTTGGGGTTCAGAGCTATTAACTGGCCCCAGTTTGACGGAAGCCACAAGAATTGTTATTGAAATATCGTCCTTTGGTTGAAGGGAAATTAAGTACTGTGTAGTTGTATAGATTAATTTGATTTTAAATGCTAACAAGAGCGCCATTTAATTATTCATAAGATCGTGTGTAGATGGCCTTGCTCAAAGCTCTGATTGAGATCGGAAAAAGTGAGTGCAATGAAATGTTTTTGTCAACACCAGTGAAGCATATGATCACTGGCACCGTTAGTCTATCGGCAGATTCGGGACAATCAGTAGTCATTGTCATCAAGTAGTTTGACATTTTGTATGACAAGTAGCTATTTTGATTTATGTGTGCATAATTAATCTGTGCAATATATATATTTAGTAGGTAATACATGTGAAGTACAGAACAATAAAATCATGTGATATGTGGGTTTTTTTTCGTCTATTCACAGACAGTTCTGTTTGTATAAACTTATGAACGATTATGAAATGATGCAATACAGGAAAATGAAAACATGGATATCCTAGTTAAAAAATTTTAAGAACTGCCTGTTTCCTTCTTTTTGTAGAATTTTCATAAATTGATAAGACATTTGTTTTTGATGGCTTCTTCTCATCACTGATCTGAACTTTTCCTTTCACATGAAATATTTTCCACTGGATGTAAAGTAAACAACATTCAATCAGTCAACATTCCCATGTGCTGCCTTATATTAGCTCTGGAGCTTGTAGAACA